CTCGACCTTCCAGACTCAAGAGATCCTCCTGCCTCAGCATCCCTAGTAGCTGGGACTATAAGTGAGTGTTACAACACCTCAGGCTAATTTTTTTTTTTTTTAAATTTTCAGTAGAGATGAAATCTCACTATGTTGCCCAGGCTACTCTCGAACTCCTGGGGTCAAGTGATACTTCCACCTCAGCCTCTCAAAGTGCTGAGATTACAGGCATGAGCCACTGCACCAGGCCCTAAGATTGCTTTTTTCTTTCTGCTTCTGTATTTGGAATATACTGCATACATTAAATTAACATGAGTGGATAGGATTCATCTCATTGTTCTTGTTAAGTACTGTAAAATTCAATGGTGAAATTAATCATTAATATTACATTTTAATAGTGTCCTTGAGAAGGTTCTGTAGATGCTATGTCTATTTTGCTATAGAGAAGTCATCTATTATTACAGATTAAAGTTGTTTAGCTTTGACCATATCTATCTCAGTCTGAGATAATGCTTTCTTTAAAAACTGCTATAAATCTATTTTTAAAATAAATAAGAATTGGGTTAATTAAAAGTATATAAACAGCAGTTTCATTTGATCAATTGTACTAATATTTTCACTAAGTTTTGCTTTTGATAAAAAACATAAAAACTGACATTTCTGAAACTTTAATATGAAAAAGGCATCTCTAAAACATGGAAAGTCATGTAAACATTGCAAATAAGAATAGCAATTTGTTTTCAAATTTTCAAGGACTTTTACATATAACAAGGTCCCTTACTATATGGAATAAGTATACTCATCCATTCATTCAAAAATATTTGAGAAACTACTATGCATAAGTTACCCACTAAGAAAATTTCTGTTTACCCAAATCCTATTTTCCTGGCAATTTTATAGTATTGGATTATAGATAAGTTAGATGGAATTCTGCCATCTAAATGGTAGATGGCAGGAAACATGCCAAGACACTATGAACTCTTCAGGCAATATAGATTATGATTAAAGTTTAAGCATATAATATTTTTCTGTCACAGACTTCTTCCTGTTTTAAAATTGTTTAACCTAACCTGTAGTAAAAAAGGAAGATCATTCAGGTTTCTTCCTGTTTTAAAATTATTTAACCTAACCTGTAGTAAAAAAGGAACATCATTCTCACATCAAGGATTACTTTAAACAGAACTTGAGAGAATTTACAGAACCTTGTACTCAAAATATTTAAAAGTGCGCATGACTTTTTATAAAGTATCTGAAAACAAAAAACAAAAACATACGTTCATACAAAAATTTGTACATGAATGTTCATAGCAGCATTATATTTATGTATTTGTTTATTTTTTAGACAGAGTCTTTCTCTGTTGCCTAGGGTGGAGTACAGTGGCACAATCATGGCTCACTGCAGCTTCAAACTCCTGTTCAAGCAATCCTCCCACCTCAGCCTCCCAAGTAGCTAGGACTACAGACACATACCACACCATGCCCAGCCAATTTTTTAATTTTTGTCAAGATGGGAGTCTCACTATTTTGCCCAGGCTAGTCTCCAAAGCAGCATTACTTATAACAGCCAAAAGATGGAAACAACCCAAATGTCCATCTCCTGATGAACAGAGAGACAAAATGTGGTATATCTGTACAATGAAATAGTAAGTCATAAAAAGTATGAAGTACTGGCTGGGCATGGTGGCTCACATCTGTAATTCCAGCACTTTGGGAGGCCGGGGCAGGCGGATTGCCTGAGGTCGGGAGTTCGAGACCAATCTGGCAAACATGGTGAAACCTCATTTCTACTAAAAATACAAAAAAATTAGGCGAGCATGGTGGCGTGCGCCTGTAATCTCAGCTACTCCGGAGGCTGAGGCAGGGGAATTACTCGAACCAGGGAGGTGGAGGTTGCAGTGAGATCGGGCCACTGCACTGCAGCCTGGGTGGCACAGTGAGACTCTGTTTATATTAAAAAAAAAAAAAGGTATGAAGTACTGATGTGTACTACAACATGAAAGAACCTAGAAAACATTATGCTAAGTGAAAGAAGTTGGTCACCAGGGACTACACATTTGTATGTTTACCTTTATATGAAATGTCCAGAAGAGGCAAATATATAGATACGAAAATTCAGTTACTGGTTGTTTAGGACTAGGGAGGATGGTGAACTTGCTTGGGCATTAATAGTTAAAGGGTTCCGGGTTTCTTTCTGAGGTAAGGAAAATGATATAAAATTGACTGTGGTGATAGTTGCACAACTTTGTGAATATACTAAAACCACTGAATTGCACACTTTAAATGATGGAACAATATGGTACATGAGTTATATCACAATAAAGTTGTTACCAAGAAAAAAAGCCACATACAGATAAAACAGATAAAAACATGCAGATAAAAGATATTATAAAAACAATCTATAATATATATTAACCTTAAGAACTTTTAACCAGATGTCACAAGCATTATTTTTAAGGGAAATGAGTCACCACAGAACTGTGACCCTCTTTCCCCTTTGAGTAGATATTGCCTTTGAAACAGGAAACAAAGTAGAAATAAAGGATATTATTTTGATATTTTGAAAGCATGATTTCTTAGGAATGCAAGTGGGATAGAGCTTGGGTTTTTAAAAAATAACATATGAACAAATTATCTGAAGGTAGAAATGTACAATAACATCTCCAAGTTGACAGTTACACTAAATTTCCGACAATAACATGCTTAGTTCATGGGAATAAACTATTTATTGTGCTTATTCACTGGTAGCTGTAAAAATTGGGCCTACATGGCATGCTAAACTACTCAGGGAGGTTATAAAGACCTTATACAGCAGGGCCGTAGATGAAGGCTCATTACTAAATGATCTAAAGACAGCTTACATAAGTGAACTCAAACAGATGTGAGGCAGGCCGGGTGCGGTGGCTCACGCCTGTAATCCCAGCACTTTGGGAGGCTGAGACAGGCGGATCATGAGGTCAGGAGTTTGAGACCAGCCTGGTCAACATGGTGAAACCCCGTCTCTACTAAAAGGACAACAAATTAGCCAGGCATGGTGGCGCATGCCTTGTAATCCCAGCTACTCAGGAGGCTGAGGCAGAAGAATCACTTGAACCCAGGAGGCGGAAGTTGCAGTCAGTCAAGGTTGAGCCACTGCACTCCAGCCTGAGCGACAGAGCTAGACTTTATCTCAAAAAGCAAAACAAAACAAAACAAAAAACAGACATGAGGCTAGAGAAGTGGCTGGTATTGATTACGGAAGCCTCAAGACAAAGGCTTTTTCTCTTGCTATAATGCTTGGCATTTTGGAAGGGATGGGCAGATACCCTATATGGACAGGTGTAATCCATCCTTTCAGGGGCTAGAACTCTGAGGTCCCTGAGAGTGTGAAGCTAAACTGTAGTGGAGAAGAAGAATGGTCTGTCGTCTGAGGCTCTCCCTGGTCTTCCAGGAAAAGAGATTCTAGGCCTGCTGAGAATGGTGGGGGGAAAAAAAGAGCTAAAGGCCTCCTTTGTACCTTGACCTGATGGGAGAAAAATGACAGAAGCCAGTTCTCATAGCAGCAGTGACTGTAGAGCAACACAGTCCAGGGAGAGAACTGAATAGGAAACATACACACAACAAGAAGCTGTGTAACTGGCAAGGCCTAGCATAAAACTGAAAATGCGGTGCTTTGTTCATGAATTACTAGTAATTTCAGAACAGTGACAGCAGAGCATTACACCAAACATGGGGCTCTTGTACACGCAGGGATCTCTACAACTGCATAGGTCATATCTCCCTTAAGTCAGCCCTGATTCCTGAGCAGCAAGAGCAGCAGTGGTAGCAAAAATCCAGAAGGCAAAGGAAAGTTCAAAGCACAAAACCAAGATCATGTAAAATCCCGCTACCACTAAGATTTTAGTGTATATAACCATGTATATCCCAGAGATTTTTCTTTTCTTTATTTTTTGTAGAGATGAGGTCTCACTATGTTTCTCAGGCTGGTCTTGAACTCCTGGCCTCAAGGGATCTTCCCATCTTGGCCTCCCAAAGTGCTATGGTGGCATATGCCACTACACCCAGGCACCTAGAGATTTTTCTGCATACATATATACATGCAGATATTTTCCACATCCATATATACATGTAGATATTTATATTTACTCATATAATGTTTTGTATATTGTACATTCTCTTCTGTAGCTTTTTTAAAACTTATTTTGGAGAGCCTGCCAAAGTATTAATAAAAGTAGCTCACGTTAATCCATTATATATATTATAGAACATATAGACCCATGTTCCATTTAACCAAAGCCCTATTGTTGGGTTTCTAAACAGTCTTAGGTTTTTCATTACTACAAATTATGTGCATTGAATATCAATAGAGTTAAATGAAGATTGAATAAGACAATCAATACAAAGCCCTCCACAGAGTGCTTGGCATCTAACAAGCACTCTATCAATGTTAGTGATTTTTAAAAATATTGTGTCCTGGATGGGCGCAGTGGCTCACGCCTATTATCCCAGCACTTTGGGAGGCCGAAGAGGGAGGAATACTTGAGCTCAGGAGATCGAGATCACTCTGGCCAACATGGTGAAACCCCATCTCTACTAAAAATACAAAATTAGCCGGGCGTGGTAGCAGGCACCTGTAATCCCAGCTACTCAGGAGGCTGAGGCAGGAGAATCGCTTGAATTGAGGAAGCAGAGGTTGCAGTGAGCCGAGATCATGCCACCGCACTCTGGCCTGGGCAACAAAACTAGACTCCATCTCAAAAAAAATGAATAAATAAAATAAAATAAAATATTGTGTCCTGTGTAAGGCTGAACTAATTTACATTCCCAACAGCACAGTAAAAGGGATTGGTTTCCCTAAATCTTTGCCAATTCTTTTAATTTTTTGCCTTTTGTGCTTCTATGAATAGTCTGTTCATGTTCTTTGACAGTTCTCCTAATGGATTCCTCATGCTTTTTAAATTTTAATTTCTATATTGGGGATATCAATCCTTCATCATAGATATAATAAGTACTTTTTTTTCCTTAAAAATTAACTTAAGACTTACCTCCAGTTCCTAGGACCTTCAGGAGCTCAAAATTTTCTATCCCCACCTTCTCTGCGTGTCCTGTCAAATTAGCTAAAAGAAAAAAAGAGAGAGAAAAAAAAAGTAAGAGGGTCAGCAATAGAAGGAGGCTCCTGGGGGCTTCTCAGGTACCAGCAATGCTCTATTTCTTGACTTGAGTGATTAACCAGGGGTTGCTTTATAATTATTTGTTAAATGGTATAGCATATTTTACATAAATTTCTGTATGTTATACATTACAATAAAACTTTTTTTGGAATTTACAAACTATATATATCATTTGTACCAAAGATTAACATAAATTAAAGTGTTTATTAGACTCTCTACTGACCAATATATTCCAAAAACAAATAAAAATTCTAATATGTAGATAGATACATAGTGGGGAAAAAACTGGATGGATTGAGAAGATGTATTAATTTATTCAACAAACATTTACTGAGTATCAATTAAGTTAAATGCCATCCCCAGGTTCTAGGGTAGGTTCTAGTTCCACTTCTGCCACTAAATACCTGGACGTGATATAGTATGCATTCGTCACTTGAATACTCTATGTTTCCATTACTACATCTCTGAAATGAAAGTGTTAGCCTCAATGAACTCTAGGATCCCTGTCAGCTCTAAAATTTTAGGACTATGTTTAAAAATAGAAACTCTTCAAAAATGTATTCTGTCTTGAACAAATAAAATTAGGATATCTTATAAATTAGCATTTTCCATAACATATTCCATTGAATTCTAGTCCTATCTTATAATAGGTGTTCTGTTTGGGGGAGAGGTGGGAAGCAGAGTGCTTTGGTAGAATAAATGTGGAAATGGTGGGCTTAAACAAAATTAAATGATTTCTTTACTGCTGAACCTTACAGATCCTGTGTTATGAAAATATGCATGTAGATCATCAAGACTAAGATACATTTGTCGATTTATTTAACCACAAAATTATTTTTAAGGTAGTATCTATTAATATTATGTGAACTAGTACTCTGCAGAAGTGGTTAAGAAAGGCTTGATCCGGCTGGGCACGGTGGCTCAAGCCTGTAATCCCAGCACTTTGGGAGGCCAAAACGGGCGGATCATGAGGTCAGGAGATCGAGACCATCCTGGCTAACACGGTGAAACCCCGTCTCTACTAAAAAATACAAAAACTAGCCGGCCGAGGTGGCGGGCGCCTGTAGTCCCAGCTACTTGGGAGGCTGAGGCAGGAGAATGGCGTGAACCCGGGAGGCGGAGCTTGCAGTGAGCTGAGATCTGGCCACTGCACTCCAGCCCAGGTGACAGAGCGAGACTCCGTCTCAAAAAAAAAAAAAAAAAAAAAAAAAAGAAAGGCTTGATCCAAATCCTAGTTATGCCATTTAAAAGCTGTGTGACCTAGACAAATTACTTGTCTGTGTCTCAGTTCCCAATAATGTAAATGGGCATAAAACTACTTATCCTCAAAGCATACTGATATCTGCGATTTACTTTGAAATGTATTTTTTAAAATAAGATAAATTTATAAATAAATATAGCTATGAACACATATGTCAAAAGCAAATACAACAAAATATTACTTGCAGAATTTAGGTAGTGAGTATAAGGGTATTCAACATACAATTCTTTCAAATTCTCTGTATATTAGAAAATGGCCATTATAAAATGACAGAAAACAAAATAATACCTACCACATAGAATTTAATGAGGATTAAATGAGTTAAATTTATACAGTGCTTGCTGTGTGCCAATAAGCAGTATTATATATAAGGGTTTGTAAATAAATTAGTGCCTTGGGACTACAACTTTAAGAAAATAAAACTCAACTAAGAACTTTTGGAATTAAAAGCTTCAGGGCATAAATAATTTCAGTGTCTTTCCAAAGTTCAACTAAACTCATAATTTAAAATTTTAAAAAATTGTGGTTGAAAATACATAACATAAAATTTACCATCTTAACCATTTTTAAGTATACAGTATTGTTAACCATATGTACGTTGTTATGCAACAGATCTTTAGAACCTTTTCATTCTGCAAAATAAACTACATCCATTGAACAACAACTGCCCTCTTCCCTCTTCTCTCAGACCTGGGAACCACCATTCTATTTTCCATTTTTAAGAGTTTTACTGCCAATGTATAATTTTATAGTAAGAACAAGTCAATGTATATGGCCCAGCCTAGAGTTCACATTGACATCAATATAGATCTAAAATGAATACCAAAAACATAGGTGGTATTTTAAAATAAACACACAATGGCTTACCTTTCTCTAATATGTCAAGCAGATTTTATAAAAAGCCAAACTCATAAGAGACAACCACTTTTGAAATGATTTGGCTCTCTTCTAATATTAAATTCTATTATTTTATTATGTAAAAAAAGCTTAAGACATTATTATTAAAGAGTCATGTGTTAAAAATAATTACTCCTAGTTCTTACTATTAGGACTCCTTTTTTATTTACTGAGATATGTACAAGCCCAGCTTTCCAAAAGCATTGTTCATATACTAGATTATATCTACATTCATATTTGCTTTATATTTATATATTACTTATCTATATTTGCTGTTACACTAAGAAGATAAGGAGTTATTTTTTGATACACAGAATTAACTTTCATAGGAAATTTTTTAAAGGTTATAAATTAATTACCCTTTCTTTTACAATGTATACTACCCAGGAAACCCTAGTCAGTCACAAAGATTGTTCAGATAATTTGTGAAAGGCTGTTTTTGTTCATTATCTACTACCTCTATTATTTTGTTTCTGACATAAATTAACACTTTGCCTGCTACAGGACCTCAAGGCTTCCCCAACCTCCTATCCCCAGGGCTCAAGATGAAGGGCATCAGTGCCTTCTATACTCAGGGTTGAAGGTTTCCAGGTGATGAGAAGCAGCTCAAGGTATGTTCTCTTTGGCTCCTCCTCTCATTACTTTGGCAGCTGAGAGTTTCCTTTACTCTTTTTATTGCTTTTCCACCAATACTATTCCCAGGTGGCTGGTAGGTAAGGCAGAGCTTGGGAGAGGTTCTTCTTTCTCCCATAACTCAAGTCCTAGGTCTTAGAAAAACTCAAGAATGCTGGTCCTGAAAAGAGCTTAGCCCTAGGCTTATGAAGAAAAACCACTCTCTTCCACCTCAAGTTTCTGCTAGAGTTTAGATTTTTTGGAATTTCCTTGCTTAAGAATGGCAAGATTCCAGTAAACAATCTTAAAGGGTATCTGCATAGGGCAAAGGAACAAGTAAGTCCTTAAGCAGGTCCATGTGATCCAGCCCAGCTCACCAAGGTCAAGGTTTCAGTTTGGGGTACAGAACCAGAGATCAAGCTTGCTATCATGTACTCCTTTATTTTGTCTTCACTTTCTTAATCTTACCTGGGAACCATGCAGTTGAAACTACGATAGGGTAGGATACAGAAATCTTAATCCTTACAATAGCCCTCAAAGCTATTGTCTAAGACTGTAACATTCCTTTGGTTCTTGTGTTTGCTCAAAGGAAAAATTAAAGACATTTGAGCACCAAAAATCTACAGTTAACATATTTCTAAGTTTTACTAAGGTACAACTTAACATACAATAAAATTCACTTATTTAAATGAACAGTTTGATGAATTTTGGTAATTATACATAGTCATGGAGCCACCACCACAAGCATGACAGAAAACAGTTCCATCACCCTGAAAATTTCTGTTCCATTACCCTGAAAAGTTTCTGCATGTCCTTTTGAAGCCAATTACTTCCCAGGTAACTAATAATCTAATTCCAGTCATTATAGTTTTAGCTTTTCTAGAATTTCATATAAATGAAATCATACAATACATAGTTTCTTGGCTTTCAACTTCATTTACTTAGCCTACAGTCTTTGAGTTTCATCCAGGTTTTTGACAGTCTACTATTTTTCCACCAGAATCTTCACAGTGTGTGCTGTACTTAGCCTTTACTTCAGTTACTCCCCTCATAAATTAATCTAAAAGAGTAAAATAAAAATTTAAAAGGTGATATGATATAGGCCCATCTCAGAGCTCTTGAACTTAGTAACCATATGATTCTTTTTTTTTTTTTTTCCCCTCTTCCTGACTCTTGAGTCTTTTCCATTACATCTATTAAGCAAAGTAAGTAAACACACATATGACAGCAAATCAGTAGTAAGCTCTATCATATTTAGGCATGGGGGAATATTTGTCCATTATAAAGATTTTTTTCACTGTGTTAATGACAAAACACGTAAGAGGAAATGGTAAATATCATTACTATATAGAATCCTAAGCAACAAAAAACACATTCGAGCATGTGAGTCTAGGTGTCTAAATAGTTTTCATTCCTATGCTATTATTTTGTCATTGTGATTAAAGCTTTTGTGCATAAAAGTCTAAAAATAAATTAAATTTCTCTTAATTGTTAACCTAAGAACAAGAGCTCAAACTTCTCTACAATAGTATTAACAATATTAGAACAAGACTTACAATATTTACACATTTATTTCACCCTAAAGGTGAAATAAAACATTAACCAATTGCAGAAATTTGCATGTGTGAGTCATTCACATGCTTTAGTAAAGTCCAAAATATGCTGCTCAGATGATGTGAAGCTACCTGCACGCCTAGGACCAGACTGTACCAGAAACAGACCTGTTAGAATTGTACACTGTCTTTCTTCACACTCAAAAGGAGATGGTACTTTAGTCTAGTTGTAGGAAAAAAGGACGTTTGCTCCTTTTCCTATGCCAGGCATGCCTTTGCCCAACCCCCTTTCTAGTTCTCCCCAAAGGTAAGAAATGTGACTAATTCATTTACTCAAGAGTCAAAACTCCAAATGCGCACAATTAATAGGTAGACTCACTGTGTTAAAAGATCAGCCTCCATACAAGTTCTCTTTGGTTTTTTACCTCACATTTCTTCCATGGCCTGACAGATTGGCCATTCTCTTGCACTTCTCCCTTCAACATACATAGTAGTTAGCTAAGCAGATTCGGGGGTTCTCCTGGGACCTGGTGCTATGATCTGAATGTTTGTATCCTCCAAAATTCATATGTTAAAATCCTAATCTCCAATGTGATGGTATTTAGAGATGGGGCCTTTGGGAG